TTCGGGAGCATGTCAATGCGAAGAGCACGGAAACGCCCCGAATAAGAATCCCATGGGGGTCCATGCAAGGTCAACATCATGAGACTAGCCTGACCGGCGCTCTTGCCGCCGAATATACTTGCATGCCGATTGAAACGAGCCGAAAGATCGTGAGGGTGCCACACGAGGTCAGGATATATCGCTTGTGTTGTCGTTTGAAGTGGGAAGCGACTGCTAAAGCTTTCCGAATACGTACGCGGTGACATTTCACACATGTGAACAGGTTGCAGGACGAGTAACATGGAAATCTGGACTGGCAGCTTACATCGAACCATCCGTTCCAATTTTGCATTGGATGCACACGACGCGATTCGTGCGGGCAGCCAGACACCCGCAGGAAAATGTGGTGCTCGGACGCGAAGTTGACGCGCCATGCATCGTTAGAACATGGTGACCCGGCGAAGCGAACGGATTCGAGCGCGCCATCGCAACAGTTGATGTATTGCGACGGGTCCTTGCCGCGTGGACGATGGACAACCTTGGAAATGCAAGCTATCGCCATTCATACACGACTGCGAGAACGCAACACGGACGAGGGCTGTATCGAGAACGCCCATCGCATCTTGCCACCCCTGGTTGTGCTGGTTCGCACCGCACTGGGCGTCCAACACTTGAGTGGAGCAAAACACCCGATCACATCTAAAGAGGGCATTCTAACACGAAAATGGTTCTTTTCACACTGGAATGTTTTTTCTCTAAAATGCAGCAAATAGTTTGAAGACAGTCCACTTCAGGATATTCACCAAGGGGTATCGGACCTGCGCTGGCGAACACTAGGTACGATCCAGCAGTGCGCGATATTTTGCGTAACCGAGGTCAGCAAGTACACACCTTAGCCGAATCATCGAACCGTCGCACACAAATCAATCGTTGGGTTGCCGCAGCTATCAAGCGACAAAGAACAGATCACGTTGGCATGCTGTTCGTGGCGGTGCCCCGAGCCCAACTCCACGAGCTCCTGTGTGTGAAGTTGGTGTTTGGGACGATTGTGTTTGCACGTGTGATGTCCTAGTT